GGAGTCCCTGGCTATGCTGGCTGGGGGATTCTGGGAATTGAAGTCCACAAGTCTTAAAGCTGCTTAGTTTGGAGTCCCTGGCTATCCTGGCTGGAGCATTCTAGGAGTTGAAGTCCACAAGTCTTAAAGCTGCCCAGGTCTAACACCCCTATTTTAAGCTAAGGGTTCTTGCTTTATACAGCTTAATTCACAAACTAGGATTAGAAGCCACAATGGGTGAGTGTGTGTAAGTTGATCACCCAGGACTGGGGATCATAAGCTAAATTATGATTAGTTTCTCATCTCTCTCCCCCCTCCCCCCCCCGTAGAATATAAGCGTGGTGGAACAGGAAAAGATTGACAAGTTGATGATTGACATGGATGGATCTGAGAACAAGTGTAAGTATAGGAAGTTTCACCCTTGCATATGGGGAGGAAAATTATTTTGAAAATCTTTCAATGATACACTCTTGTGCCTTGCCGGCTGCAGAAGAAATGGGCTGGCAAGGCAGGTGTCGGGGTGTGTGAGGCCTGGCTACAACTGTCCGAAGGTAAATAATAGGGCAGCTTCATCAACCCCTCATCCCCAACCTAGCTTAATTTGTACCCCTGCACTCTGGAGTGGGCAGGATCTAAATTAGGGCTTATTTTGGGGGGTAGGGCTTATCTTGGATGCATGTGTAAAAAAATCAAGCTAGGGCTTACTTTCAGGGTAGGTTGTGTTTTGGGGGGCGGGGGGAAGGGTAGAAAAAGGAAAAATTATTCCAGCTCCGAAATAGCACAATTCTCATTTTTAATCTTTAAACATAAGTAATTTGAGTAAAGTAATTTGAGTGGCAGCAACCTGTATGTTGAGAACCGATTGCAAGCAAATAACATTCCTCTTTTTTTGTGTCTTTACGGCAGCTAAATTTGGTGCGAACGCAATCCTGGGTGTCTCCCTGGCGGTGTGCAAGGCTGGCGCGGCGGAGAAGGAGATACCTCTGTATCGCCACATTGCCAATTTGGCCGGGAACAAAGAAGTTATTTTGCCGGTGCCTGTAAGTTTATTTTGCTGTGCCATGCAGTAAGCCGACTCTTGGCCGGAAGTGAAGCTGCAGATCAAATCTTTTGAGCATGAATGCAGGAATCCGTTAATCCTTTCGGGAGAATGACTTGGTTTCATCCCTTGAAAAGGATTTTATTCTCTCTTGGTCCCTTGTGGGAAGTTTTTTTTTCCCCTTTAGGCTGTAGAATGTGGCGGTTGATTGGGGGTTGTGTTGATTTTTTTATTTTTATTTTAAAAACAAACCCCACAGTTTGCAGCCATGGAAAATATCTGCCTGGATGCAAAACCTCCAGACCCAAAGGTGTTTTATTTTTTTAAAAGCAGCTGGACTTTTTTTTGATTTTCCTTGAAGAGGTTTCGCTCCTCATCTGAGAAGCTTCCTCCCGTTCTGACTCAACAGCGGGGAATGAAATAATAAATCCTTCTGTTCTCCACCGGTCAGAACGGTAGAAGCTTCTCAAATGGGAAGCGAAATGTCTTCAAGGGGAAAAGAAAGAAAGTCCAGTTACCTCTTTGGGTCTGGGGTTTGCATCAAAGTTCTGCCTGGAAGGATTTATAGTCCATTCCACGCCATTCACTCAGAACGGAAGAAACTTCTCGGATGGGAAGCGAAACCTCTTCAAGGGGAAAAAAAACGTCCAGTGGTCTCTTGAAAAAGCACCTTTGGGACAACCATGACCTGAATGAGAATCCCCACAGACAAACCTCAGACCTCTTCAGTTCTTTTCCATGTGGTAGCTGTCAGGATTCCAGCAGTTACTCCCATGTAACAACAATGTTACGGTTGGCCTAGAGGGGGAGCTCTCGCCTCACGATCCTAGGTAGAGGCAGATATTTCTCTCCGCACAATGAGAATAACTGAATAAGCTGAACAAAACTCCTCATTGGTGACAGGAAGGGCATCCGGCCAGTAAACACTCTAGCTCCATTCCGTTGCCCAGATTCCACCCTGCAAGGGATTATGGGGTGGTTAAAAGATGATGATGATTAAGGAACCAGTTGTAAGTCCTTGTAAACCTCTGGGAATGGTGCTCCACGGTGTGGAGACGGAGACGGTTTGGACAAGACTGTTGGGGCGTGTTAAGGACTAGAAGCTTGAATTGGTTTTACGCTGGTTCTCTCTTGGTTTGTGGGTTAAAACCACTGTTGTGGGGTCCTTGGTATCTCCGAAGGCTTTCAACGTGATCAACGGCGGTTCTCATGCTGGGAACAAGCTGGCCATGCAGGAGTTTATGATCCTTCCTGTCGGGGCAGAGAGCTTCAAGGAAGCCATGCGGATCGGGGCGGAAGTGTATCACAACCTGAAGAACGTCATCAAGGAGAAGTATGGCAAGGATGCCACCAACGTGGGGGATGAAGGAGGCTTTGCCCCCAACATCCTGGAGAACAAGGAAGGTAAATTGCCTGGATGGTTAGATTTTAAGACAATGTTTCTCAGATTAAGTGAACTTCAATTCCCGGAATTCCCCAACCAGCATAAATGGACTCCAACTCCTAGAATTCCCCAGCCAGCTTGAGTGGACTTCAACTCCCAGAATTCTCCACCCAGGATAAATGGACTTCACTCCCAGAATCTCCTAGTCAGCATCAGTGGACTTCAACTCCCAGAATCCCCTAGCCAGCATCAGTGGACTTCAACTTCCAAAATGACTTGATTGTCTTTTGCTTAATTGCTTGTTAATCGGCCCTTTGCTCAGTGGCTTTGCTCGTGTTTTCTCTTTAGCTCTGGAGCTGCTGAAGAATGCCATTAGCAAGGCTGGCTACACGGATAAGATTGTCATCGGAATGGACGTGGCGGCGTCTGAATTTTATCGTGATGGGAAATATGACCTGGACTTCAAATCCCCAGATGATCCTAGCCGATACATCTCTCCCGATCAGCTGGCTGACCTGTACAAGAGCTTTGTCAAAAACTACCCAGGTGTGTATGCTCCGTGGCACATTTCGAATTCAGATCCTCCTCCCCGTTAAGGGCATTTTAAAGGAATTCACCCTTTTCTGGAGTGACTTTCTTTTGGCATCCGAAAGCAAACTTGAACTAAAGGACTGTCCTTTATAATAAGTTGTGCGTAGTCACTGACACGAAAATCTGATTTTTCTAAAGCAAAATATTAAATGCCAGAAAAGGAAGATAATCTGTAATATTATTGCTTTGGTTTATGTCCCGTTTAAAGTTTTGGTTGTAAGCAGTACAGAATTTCTGGGTGGTTGCTCAGCTTCGAAATTGAAATAAATGCCTGAAATTTGAAAGGAACGAGGAAATTAACTAGCTGGGCAAATTGAAAAAAAAAGTAAAATTTAAAATTTAGAATAGAATTCTTTATTGACCAGGAGTTGTGCCTAGAATTGCTTGGATGAGAGGGGCGGTCACACAATTTGAATAAAAATAAATAATATTTGATTATTGTCTTGCTTTTGCAAATGACATTGGTGAGGAAATTCAGTTGAGTGGTCTAATGTCGTGGTGAGCCTCGTAGTTCTACCACTCGCCTCAGTAGTTGCTGTTTTCTGTAAAATGGGTAGAAACTAGCACAGTGAAAGGACGGCCAAACAGCTCCATCACAGATCCGTCTCTTCTCTGTCTTCCTCAGTGGTTTCCATCGAAGATCCCTTCGACCAGGACGATTGGCCAGCCTGGAAGAAGTTCACGGCCGAGGCCGGGATCCAGGTGGTGGGTGACGACCTGACAGTGACCAACCCTAAGCGCATCAGCAAAGCCGTGCAGGAGAAGTCATGCAATTGTCTTCTTCTCAAAGTGAACCAGATCGGCTCCGTCACCGAGTCGCTGCAGGCGTAAGTCTTCTGTCCGGAAGGAAGCGGAGGCCAGGGGAGGCAGGCGGGATCTTGCAAGACTCCAGAGCAGTGGTCGCCAACCAGTTTTTTCTGCTTTTGGCTGCATGCAAGGAAAGCAGCAGAAGTCTTTCTTTCTCTCCCCCAAACTCCGCCAGAAATGAGTCTTTGGGACCTGTGAGGCATCCTACTCCAAGAGGCTGCGCCGGCGCAACAAAGCTCACAAAGACTCATTTCTGGTGGAGTTTGGGGGAGAGAAAGAAAGACTTCTGCTGCTTTTCTTGCATGAAGCCAAAAGTCTCTCTCTCTCCCTCTCTCCCTCCCTCTCTCCCTCCCTCCCTCCCCCTGAGAACAGAGCTGGAGCTGCGATCTCAAGTAAAGAATTCAAATTCAGGGAAAATATCACCCAGCTCTTGGTTTGATGATCTTTGCTTGCTGGTTTGAAAAAAATCACCTCGTGGTCTCTTTTCCCCTTTCCCTATTTTAGCTGCAAAATGGCCCAGTCCAACGGATGGGGGGTGATGGTGAGCCATCGCTCTGGGGAGACGGAAGACACCTTCATTGCTGACTTGGTGGTTGGTCTCTGCACTGGACAGGTGAGGGTTTACCTGCCTCAAAGGTTGCTGGAAGGATGTTGGGGGGAGGTTGGGGTCTCGCATCGGCCTAAAGGATGGGCAGGGAGGGAGATCGGGCAGTATTGTTTCATGTGACCGAATTGTGGTTTGCAAAACAAGCTTGTTTCGGGCTCTGTATGATGGACTGCACTACAGTGTCCTGCAGCATTGAATGGCAGCCATTTTGAAGATGTGTGGACTTCAACTCCCAGAATAGCTGGCTGGGGGGATTCTGGGAGTTGAAGTCCACACATCTTCAAAATGGCTGCCATTGAGAAATGTTGATGTATTGTTATGAGAAGGATAGTTGTTGGAGAAACTATGGTTGGAGAAACTATGGTAGATCCTGGCTAAGTGATCTTTTTTTGTGACATGAAAATGATGCCATTACTTGTGAGTTCTCGCTTGTAGGCTCATATTCCTTGGTTAATTTTCTTTTCCCAGATTAAGACTGGTGCTCCTTGCCGATCCGAACGCCTAGCTAAATACAACCAAATTCTAAGGTAAGAGCAGTTTTTATGGCCAGATTGGGATCAAAGGGCAGCATCTTCTTTTGATCTGTGGCCATAATAAAGACATGATTGTTTTGTTGAATTGTTCTCTAAATTCTGGATTCCTGTAAGATTGCCAAGTTCTGTTCTATGCATCAAGAGCGGTAGCAGAAGGGGAAAAATACTTTTTTATTTAAAACATTCAACGAAGTACAGGAAAAGGAAGAATTCAAACAAGATGGAAAATAATCAGAATTTTTCTTTCCATCAAGTCATTTTTCATTTCCACCCTTTGATCTTTATTGTCGTTCTATAATTTTAAAAGCTTTAAACCTTATTTAAATTTGAATGCTAATTTTTTAATAAGTTCTTTTATTTAACAGTCGTATTAAATTGTCCCCCTGCCAGCACCCATCTTTTGAGATGGCTGGTTTAGAAATACAAAACATAAATGAATAGAAATTATTTCCCATTTTAATTTAATTTAATTTAATCCTCGACACCGTGTCCCTAACTTAAAAACAGTTGCAGCGATGCACTTAGGTCGTAAAACGGGGCAGAATTCACTTAATTCACTGGCTTATCAGCAAAGATAACCTGTGTTGTGGTCGTAGTCGAGGATTTCGTGCTGGATTTCAAAACTTTTCTTTCTATGTGTTTTTTTCCCCCCCCTCTAGAATTGAAGAGGAACTGGGGAGCAAGGCCCGTTTTGCCGGGCGGAATTTCAGGAACCCCCGAGTCAACTAAAAGAAAACTCAGGCTGTCCCAGGACGAAGCTCATTAGAGGATTTACATTTAGCCCCCTCTCTCCCCTTAGTGCCTGCGTCGTAGAAAAGGAAAGGGCAGCTGATGGCAACGGTTCCATGTTTGCAATCCTGTAATTCTCCCCCCCCCCCAAAATGCCTCCCTTCTCTCCAGCTGTTGCTTTCAAGAAACATGGGGGGGCTTGGGGAGGGGGGCTTAAGGAAGGACAGTTCGCTCGTCTTCTCATCGCTGGGACCTGGGAGTGCAGCCCTCTCCTCTATAGTGTACACCATTTTTTTTTCCTGCCTTTGCTTGAGATGCTGAATCTGTTTTTTTTCCCCCTCACTTTGCTGCTTCCCTCCTATCCTTGAATCCTAATCCCTTCTCCCCTTTAGTGTATGGAAAAGATTTGCAAGCCATCTGAGCTACCTGTTCTCATACACACACACACACACATACACCCATCCCAGAAATTCTCTTGAGTCAGCAAATTAAAAAAAACACAGAAACGCTGGTGTTTTGTTGATATTGTTCTTTGGGTGTGTGGGGGAGTGAGATGAGGAAACAAGATTGAATTGTTTTGGAAGTTTAATCGAGGGTGGCGGGGAAAATAACCGAGCTGGTTGCATTTGAGGCCAGGGCAAAGGTGGTACGTAGCAGCGTTGAACCCAGAAACGAATGAATAAATTAATGCAAAAGGGACGGTGGCTCTGCAGCCTCCTGATTGCAGAGATGTGGGTTTGGTTTCCCTGGTTTTGAGGGAAAAGAAGAGTTGACTTTGATCCTTGTTAGGGAATGGTGGCTTGTCTGCAGAGCTTGGCTGTGCTAAGCCACGGTGCGTGAAAATGGCAATTTGTAAAAAAAGCTGCAAAGAAAGCCCTTGTCTGGTGCAAGTCCAGAGGTTTAGCGAGTGGGCACTTGCCTGTCCCTGCAATCTGGGATTGCAATTTCTGCTGGACTACAGGCTCCATTATCCCCAGATGGGGATGATTTCTTGAGCCAATGGGGTGATAACCGTCCATTGTCCTTTTGGCCTTTTCTGATGGACTACAAGCACCATCATCCTTGGTCAAAGCAATTGGAGGGGAAGAGGGTGGCAGTTCCATCAGGTGCTTCTATGCTGCCTGGCTTCTGTGGTAACTACAATTACCATGTGCCTGACATGGACTCCACAAACCCATGCAAAATAACAAGCTCCCCCAGCCTCTGTATGGTGACTACAATTCCCATCTTCTGCCTGACACAGACTCCAAATCCGTGTAAAACAAGCATGGTCCTTTAGTTTTCTCTGACTTGGGACTACACAGCAGTTTTCTTGGGCATCTTTCGCAAGGCCCATCATTCCCGTCGCCTTCACATCCCAGGGTTGTTGGGACTACAACTCCTATAATCCAAGATCTGTGGGGCTCTTCCCAGAATCCATCATCCCCGGTCACGCATCCTAGCCTCCCCTTTCAGCTGGCTAAAACTGCCCCTTCTGGTAGTTCCTAGCCCACATGGGACCACAATTCCCATCTGCAGGAGCAAAACGACTACAGAGCTCATCATCCCTGGTACTGCTGGGGTGCTGCACCTCCCCTTTTCTGTTAAAAGACTACAATTTCTACCGGCCCTGCTTTTTTTTTTTTTGAGTGGGACTACACCTCCCACCAACCCTGCTCTCCTCAGGCCGGCTGGACTACAGTTCCCATTGTCCCCCGGGCGCCGCCTTCCTCGATCCTCCTGCAGGGGGCGCCGGGTGGAAAGAAACCCACCAACCGCCGCCTCAGGGCAAGGATGAAGCCCCGCCTTTCGCCCCGCCTCCCCCGCCTCCCTTTCTGGACCAATCCGGAACGCCCTCTTCTTCCCCTTCTCAACCCCCCCCCTTTTTTTGGGGGGGTAGGTGTGTATGTATGTATGTATGTATGTATGTATGTATGTATTTGAATGATCCCTCCCCCCTTTCGAAACGGACTTCTCCATCCCGGCCGCCGATTGGGCCGCGGCTGGGTTTAAGCCGTGAGGGGTGAGGTCACGAGGCGGCTCCTCCTCCTCCCCCCTCCTCCTTTTGCGCCCTCCCTCTCGTCCTCGGGACGGACGGGCGCGAGAGGCACGCGCCGTCCGGGCCGTCCAATGAGCAGGCGCGTTACTGGCAGGTGGAGAGTGGGCCTGTCTGGGGGTGGTGGTTGCTGGGTGTCTCTTTGGTTTTGTGTGTGTGTGTGTGTGTGTGAGGCTGACGGAGGGAGAAAGCCGGAGGAGGAGACGCCGAGCGAAGGGGGCCGCCGGCGCTGAAGGGGGTTAGGAATTAAAAATAAATAAATAAATAAAGCCGGGGAGAAGAAGACGGAGGAGGCGGGAGAGACTATAAAACCCGGAGGAGAAATTGCCGGCTGTTCCCCTTCCTTTCACGCCCCCCCCTCCCCTCAAGTGTGTGGGTCCTTCTCCCCCTTTGGCCTAGTGGGGCGATCGCGCCTCAAGCAGGAGCAGGTCTGAGAGAGGAGGGGGCGCCTGGAGCCGGCTGGACCCTCCCCTCCCCTCCTCCTCCTCCCCCCTTCAGCCCTGCCCCCC